ACAAAGACATGCTTTCCGGGATTCGTTAGCTCTAAAGCTATTTACTGGATTTTGAATTGAAAATAGCCCAACAAGGTCGGGTATAGTTAGTGTGCCCTCGCCGACGTAGTTTGCGTCCGAGTGAACCCATCGGCGAGGGCGCAATAACTATCGCCGACCATCTCACCATGATGTTCGACTAAATTAAAAAATGAGATGAAATTATTCGTCTGTTTTAGTAGGAACATATTTTTAGTAGAACCATATTTTTATGTATTTAATTTGAAAACTGATAACTGATATATGAAAGCCTGTTGCATTGATATTTGGTGAATTGTGCTTGTCACTTTTTTCTGACAAGATGGGATGGGTTTTTAAAACAATTAAAAGGCAGTGGTCGTCGCGCCGCGTCCCTTTCGACTCATAGCGACGTACACAACGCGTGTAAAATACATTTTTTTCACATTAAGGTAGAAGCCTAGTCATAATTTTTAACAAAATTGGTCATAAATCGCATGATAATGTTCATTACTTTATTATGTACAATCATGAAGCTAATGTCCCATGGTACAATGAAATAGCATTATTTTGTGTGTTACAGTTATGCTTTTTGAGAAACGTGTCCTAACATTTCTTGAAAATTGCTATTTAACACAATGTTAAAGAAAAATTGCATTTTTTGACACTTTAAAACCCAGATTTTTAAAATAATTCAGAACAACAAAAAGTACTCCATCATTAACAATATATGATTTTTTCAGCCTATGTCACCAGGCTAGATTTTGAGATATTGCATATTATATTATACCAGTATATTGATGGTGTTAATCGATTGATTTGATTGGTCCAAACACAAAATTTGCATATGCAATCTGTCATGCATACGAGATGCCAACAATTTTGACTATGTTGCCTAGTGTTCGATCCATCCATCAAAACGCAAGACCGCGTACGAGTTAAATAACATTGAACGAATAACTTTAATTGATCAAAGGGGGAAAAGGGATTAAATACAATCTGTTTACAAATCTAGGATTTTCTGTCCATTAATGAAGCATTAAACTGCTAGCGCACAA